CCTCTGTCCCAGCCTACAACTTCGATTCTGTGCACCTCGAGTATAGAGCCCAGACAGATAGGTACACAAGAGTCAAGAGCATCTATTGCTCCAATTGTGGTTCTTAGTGAACCTGCCGAAACAACCAAAGTGGCGTCTATTGACCTACCACGAGGACAGGTTGGAAGTCCTACCAATGCTAACATCACGCCAACACTGAACGTAGGCACAACAGTTTATTCAATTGTTATTTCAACTGGAAATCTATGTGATCTAGGTGTGATTTTACCCGACTTTGTGTCAAGGGAATATCTGGACGGTGCCCTAAAGGTTGTTCAAGATCATATGGAAGCGCAGATCCTAAGTCTCAAAAGGATGATGAAGGGGAATGATCCAGTAGTCGATGATCAACCGTCTGTGTCGTCACCATCGCCTGTGCCTGAGCCTCCGAGGGTACAAGAGCAATCGATGGATGAACTTAAATCGTTGTTGTACGTAAAACTGATATCTATTCAAAATCCAGATGTGGCTGATGCAGACCTGGTTGGGCTCCTCCGACAACTTTTTGACGATGACCCCACAGTTCGAGCCTCAGAGTTTTTGGCCTTTCAAGATGTAGTTGTTTCTAATTTCTCAAAAGTTAGCAAGCTAATTACATCAAACACTCAAGCCCTGGAAAGTTCAATTGAGGCCTTGTCTGAAAGGGTATCGATTCTAGAAGATACGTGCCGAGCTCAAGCCGCCTCATTAAAAAGAAGACATGATGATTCAAACAATCCTGATCATCATGAGGGGGAGAGAAAGAGACAGAGGCTGGCTGAGTCATTTGTTTGTGCTCAAAGTGTTGAAAGGGAGCCAGATTCTCAAGCAGTTAACGTTGAAAGTCCTATTCCGGAATCAACAAGGGAAAGGACTACAGGCTCAATAATGGCTGAAGATGTGATGGTCTTGGAGACAAATCCAGTGATCGATCCAATGGTTGAAAAGTCGGCGGACTCCACTGTAGGAACAAGGTTTCTTTTGGATTTTTCTGCCAACGTGGGATTTAATGAAGCGTTTTCGAAAGAACTGGGTGGAGATCAGGATTTTGGTGAAGACATCGACAATATTGATGAGTCATCCGAAATGTATTTTGACTTTGAAGCAGATATCAATGAAGAAGATCCAATCTTCCCATTCCAGGGTGATCATCACACTCTGTCTGAACCCTCCACTGCAGTTGATCTTGGTGCATCAGAAAATCCGATAGCGGCGTATGATCCTACTGAAATTTTTACTAAAAATTATGTGCCGTTTGCAATTCGTGCTAATGTTCCAGGTTATGATAGAGCAAGGATCAGAGAACCATATCTGGAAGACATTTACTTCGGTATCTTTCTTCGACACCACAAAGCTCTTAGCTGACAAGATTCTTGGGATTCACAAAGAAACCCGAGATTATTGTTTAGAGTACAAGCATTTTCTCAAGGCGAATCGTCTCTCGATCAGCCAAGTACGGACCAAACATTGAGTCGTCTCCATCAAACAAATTGATGCCCAAAGACTCCTTAGAGTTTGGTATCTTGTTTTCACCGTTACAAGACAAGATGGAAAGGTCTGGATATTCAGTGAAGCTGATTTCTCTAATATGTATTTAGAAGACTTGGAGCACATGTACCACGAACTACGGAATATGACGGTCAGAAGAGAAGGAGCACTTGTTGGTCTTAATGCAATCAAGAGGTTTATGCGGAGTCATGTCAAAGTATCAATGGTTCTTGATATCCAAATGGGTCTTGAAGACAATCAAAGAATAATTAATTTGAAAAGACCAGATCAAGAGCTTGAAGATATTGAAGGCTATCCTCTGTATATTATTCTTGAAGAGCCGAAGTTTGGTGTGGTGTATAGTGCTGAAGGTCAAATAAAGAAGTTCATGAGATTTAGTGAGTTGAATAAATACTGTGATGGCACTATAAGGATGGTGAGAGGGGTGCTTGAAACGAGAAGAGCTGACAACGATAGAGCTGCGGAATCGGAGAGAATAAGTCCGAAAGAGAGGAATATTCTGATAAATGCCTTGAACCTGCTTGATGATAAATTGCAGTACCGGAGTGCACTAAGGAGGCTAGAGACACTACTTGGGCTTAGAAAGACAAGATTTACAATGTCTCGATCTTGAATCCAAAGGGGGAGATTGTTGGGTTCAAGAATGTGCTTAATTGATTGTATCAAGTTCTCCCATTGTATTTGCTTTGTAATAGTTAGCCTTTGTTAACTTCATAGTATAAATAGGATTTAGCTTGTTAATTGTAGTTAGTTCAGTTCAATTCAGATTAGTTGATGTTAATCATTTGTAGAAATTCTCTCAAGAAATACAATATTCAACTTTGGTGAAAATCTCTCTCTACTCATCTCAATTGTTCTTGAAGGATTAATCTAATTTGTATGATTTTGGGATTATCAGTGACTAATCAACTCATTGGAAGGAAGCTATGGAAGATGAGTTGAGTTCAATGAATAAAAACGACGTTTGGGAACTTGGTGAATTGCCAAAGGGTGCAAAATTCGTCGGATGCAAATGGGTTTTCAAAACCAAACTTGACCCAAATGGAAATATCGAGTGATATAAAGCTCGTTTGTTTGCAAAAGGGTATACTCAAAAAGAGGGCATTGATTATAAAAATACATTTTCTCCTGTATCAAGAAAAGAATCCCTAAGAATTGTAATGGCCCTTGTAGCTCACTTTGACATAAAGTTACATCAAATGGACGTCAAAACTGCATTTCTTAACGGAGATTTACATGAAGATGTGTTTGTGGCCCAACCAGAAGGTTTTAAGTCTAGAGGTCAAGAACACTTGGTTTGTAAACTCAAGAAATTGATTTATGGGCTTAAATAAGCATCTCTTCAATGGTATCTAAAGTTTGATGAAGTAATGAAGAAGAATAACTTCACTAAAATTAGGTAGATTAGTGCATATACCTCGAGATGAGTGGGATAATTTTTATTATATTTGTACTTTATGTCGATGATATACTTTTGGAAAGTAATAAGGTTGATTTGTTGCATGAGTCAAAACGTCTTCTTTCTAGAAACTTTGACATGAAAGATCTCAGTGAGGCTTCATACGTTATCAGAATTGAAATTCATCAAGATCGAGCCAATGGGACAGTAGGACTATCCCAAAAGGCCTATATTGAATGTATACTTAGTAGATTCAATATGCAACATTGTTCCCCCTTCGTCGTTCTCGTAGTTAAGGGTGATGTTTATGGTTTTTCCAATGTCCGAAAACTGAGGTCGAATATGAACAAATGAGGCTCATTCCTTATGCTTCTGTAGTAGGAAGCTTAATGTACGCTCAGGTATGTACTCGACCTGATATCACATATGTAGTTGGCATTCAAGGTAGATATCAATCTAATTCTAGGCTAAATCATTGGAAAACTCTTAAGAAAGTTTTGTGAGATTTACAAGGAATAAAAGAGTACAAATTAACTTATCGAAGATCTGAAAACCTTGAGGTGATCGGATACTCCGACTCGAACAATGCAAAATGCAAGGACGATAAGAAGTCAACTTCGGGATATATTTTTATGCTATCAGGTGGGCCTAGTTCTTTCAGGAGTCATAAATAACAATTGGCAACGACCTCGACAATGATGGTTGAGTATGTGGCAGTTTATGATGCGACATGTCGTGCAATGTTGTTGAGATATTTGATTAGCATACTCAAAGTAGTCAACTCCATTTCATGGCCAATGAAGATTTACTATGATAATAGTCCGGCAGTGAGCTTCTCGAACAACAATAGTCCAAGTGGAGCTGGTTTATATCTCGATACAAAGTATTTATTCGTACGAGAAAGAGTGGAGGAACAAAGTCTATGTATCGAACACATTAGCACGCATGATATGCTTCCGGATCCGTTAACTAAAGGTCTACCACCCAAAATATTTCAAGATCACGTTGTCAAAATGGGATTTAGACGAGACATTACATAATCTAACTAGCAAACTATTTTATAATGATGTTTAATATAAAAAACAAGCTTGAATATCTAATCCTCCATTAATTCCAAGTTTGTCTATTTTAACTTTCAGTTGTGTACACTTATGTTTCATTATGGACAAAAGTATTTATTTACCACATTACTTTATTGTCATTTTGGCTTAATAAAATCATAAGTTTTCATACTAGAACCAATAGTATAATAGGTGGGGGTCTTGTGTCAATAATGAGACATTAGGCTGTATCTTTTTGCTTTGGTGCTATTGTAGAATTATGATGAATTGAATAAACATACACTTGGCAAATTTGATGGTTAGTCAGCATGCAAATGGTTATACGGCTAAGTGGGAGAATGTTAGAATATTTCTACTTATAAATGGCCTTAAACCATTAGACTAACAATGTTTAACATATGGTGTAAATATTGATTATACCCTCATCTATGCCCTGATGACATTATCTACCCAACTAACTAATGGCAGTTTTTTGATGGAAAAAGTTGCCGTATAACTAACTTTAAAATAGGTGGTCTTTCCATGTGTGAGATATCATAAGAACAAATGAGAAATCAAAAAATTCTCTCCAAGAAATAACTCCATCACTTGTCGAATCCCTCCATCGCATTGTTGGCATCATCACCAGAGTATCGACGACTCCTAATGTTATGGCTTCATCCTCAAATGTCAATCCAAAATCGATGTTACCAAGTAAGTTTTACTTGGGGGTCGTTTACGAAACGCTTAACATTTATCAAGTCACGTTACATTACGGGATAAATATGCAAAAACCAAGAGTGTTACTTGGTAAGTGAGTGCGACGACTCTTACCACGGTTAGCGCTTACCAGGTAAATTGTCGCATATGCCGTTTTAGTAGACTAAAATCTTATCCGATAAGTAAGTGATAATACTGAATTTTACGGGCAAGCGTTTATTGGGTAAGTGTTTAGTAAACGACCCCTTAATGTTTTATGATCACTGATTGATAATCTGCGTTTAAATCCTGTTAGATGTTTTAATTAACAGTTGTAACCACAAAAACAGTAAAATCCATGTCACCTCATGCTGAAAAAGAATTTCGTTTACAAATAAAGAGTTACATTCTAGAAATAGAAATTTGAAACATTAAATTCAAGAAGAGAGCGCTGGCTGATGATTATAAAAAGCGGAGGAGCTTTAAAAGAGGCAAGCTACTAGAGAGACAACAGCTGCTAGTAGAGCAGGCACTGACAATGCCATTCCAGCGCTCTCCATTGAGGGTGAAGGTGCTGGTGCTGACCCAAAATTTTGAGCCATTGTTCCAGTACTGGTGAAGGCCATGAGGATTATCATTGTGATGGTGAGAGCAGTGATTACCTTGACAAATTCCATTTTGGTGAGTCTTCTTTATACGTGTATATATTCACTTGTACAAAAGATTGGTTTTTGGAATTCGTATTGGGAAGCAAGGGAAATTTGATGGCTTTTAAAGCAGATGATTGGTGGGGATTAATGGAGGAATATTCTAACAGCTAATCACATGGTCAATATGGTTTTTAAAGCAATCGACATAATCATTTGACAGAAGTGGACATCAAAGCAAACTCTTCAAGTGTCTCAAACTCCATTTTGCGGTTGTCTACCAGGCTGGACAAGGTGAAGGTGCATCCACCATGATAACTTACTCTTCGTATATGATTTGTTCTCTTCTGTAAGTAATTCCATTGTAGTGAAAACAATAGACGACAACTGTAATAGTTAATAAATGTTCTACGACAGACAACTGTTGGGATAACAAACGGTAGTGTCCATGGAAGTTCTGAGTTTCAAAAGTTCAGTTTAATAGTTGGAGAGAAGGATTAGTTCTTTGTATTTAGGTTTATTACTTTCCTTCAACAATCATTATCTCATTTGTAGTAAATTAAGTTATATGAGAATCATTTTACTTTTGTCTTTCTAACTTTCTCATTTCTAATTTCAACTTTAGTTGTGTAGAACCACAAAGGGTAGTGCCTGTTCGGGTTTGAGCTTCGAGGTCCCACGTTCAAATCCAAGGAGGATTAAAAATTCTCTTGTGGCCACTAAGGTTCAAATACGGTGACTCCGCCTATTCACAGAGCAGTGGTCCTGAGATTAGTCGACTCACATGACGGTTAGATATCGAGGTTAATAATAAAATAAAAAAAACTTTAGTTATGTAGTGTTTAATCAAGATATATAGTATTGTGTGTGGTGAGTACTGTCATCATTGTATATTAGTTTAAAATTTTATGTTAGTGTTATTTTTTAGTTTTTGTCCTCTGCTTTCTACTTGAGGGGCATTTTCAGTAATGTGAGCCATGTGGGTGTTATTATCAATGTAAATCTTTAAGCTGGGGAGATGGAAGATTTTAAACCTTTTAGGCATTACATGCCATTATCACGAGAACCAAATGCTACTGTCAAATTTTTTCGTGAAAATGGAAAGAAGTTCTTCTTGTGTTCTAACAAATTATTGGATGCCTGCAAAACACCACATATCACATAATAGGTATATGAGGTGTAATATATCTTCTTCTTCATACAGTAGTTACATGCATCCATATTGGATGAATTGAAATCTCACAACCGATGTCAAACACCCGAAGTTAAATATTATTGAGCCAATAAGGTCTTAAATACAAAAAATGGACTCGTGTGTTAAGGCTGAAAGATGATAGTTATCGTTTACAAGGAACTGAGAGAAAATGTATATGATGTGTAGAACCCTAAAATATACCAACTGTGAGCAAACTAATATTTTATTTTGTGAATATCTTGATTGAGTTATATAAATCTAAGCAAATGAACATGAAAAATAATTACCTACAAAGTCTATATAAATATGAGAGGAAAATAATGTATTTTAAGTAAGTGACTAAGATACAATATGGATCATTAAAACCGAAAGTAAGTGTGGTCTTTATGGTATGGAAAATAATGTCTTTTATCTCTCTGGATTTTCAAAAATTACACTTTCTACCCAGTTACGCACCTTATTATTATATCCAGATCCGCAATTTTAACCTCTCGCCTCCGTAATTTTTCAAAAAGTTGTCATTTTTTACGTGTTGTATACATGTTTAATTGTGAAGCTGCATTATTTTTTTCAATAGAGCCTGAAAAATGATGTAAAATTGTTCAATAATTGTACCATTTTCAACTAATTTGTTGATGGTTGGTTGGATGAATTTAATTCATCTGATCTATAAAATAGCAACGATAGTTGGATGAAGATATACAGAAAAAGCATGACGTCTTAATTTCTTTCTTTCTTTGTTCATCATATATTTTTGTTCTTTCAATTCATTTGAAAAAATGAGTTCTGATGTCGAAAAAATTAAGTTACATATTTGTGGTAGTGGTCAATGGGTGCAAGCAAACGATGGGTGGGATTATATTTGTTCAGGTGATACGATGCACTATGTTGCACAATTGCGTGCAAACATTACACAATCAAATTTTGGTCGCTTATGTTAAGTGGAAATGTGGAATCGAAAGTTATGTTCGTAACCACGTTATTATGATGCTTCAATTTTTGATAGGGATGGCCGAAACAGAAGGTGAAAACTGAAAACCGAAATTTTCGGGCTGGGTTCGGGGACATCTTATCGGGGATGGTGTGGGGATCAGGGACATATTCAGGTATTTTATTGGTGACAGTGGCGGGCGACCCAGCCCGGCCCGATATGTGTATATATATATTAATTTTAATTTATATACATTCATATATATATATATATATATCATTAAAAGAAAATACTAACAATAAAATTTAAAAGACTTTTATTCAATTTACCTCAACACCCCAAATAAGGCTCACGGAAAAGTCCAGTTTGTTTTGTCTAATTATGAAATCATGATGTTAGTTGTTTGATGTTTGAATTTATGTTTACTTTTATATAGTAATATAAGATGTTGTTTGTAATTGGTTTGATTACATTTGAGACATTTAGACTTACATCTTTAAAAAAAACTGTAATTTACTTTTAGTTGTGAAAATTAATGTATTGTAATTTTTTTCAAATCGATTTAGGCTTCAGGTTCGGGTATAACCAAAGGTGAACGAGAAACGAACGGAAAAAATAGATTTTTACACTTAACTGGTTCCCCAACGGGGATCGGGGAAACCGCGGGGACCCGACGGGGATCCCCGATAAGATCCTCGACGGGGATCGGGGCGGTTATAGGTACGGTCTTAGTTATCGGTTTCGGGGACAGGGATACCAATTCCCAGCCCGAACCCGACCCGTTGCCATTCCTAATATTTGAGTTAGCCGACAATGAAGATGTTTGTGGTTGCATGGGATTCGCAACCGAGTCAAATAAACCGCCTACACTTTATGTATATGTCGATTTTTCAATGTGCCGTAGAGGTTATGTCGGTGGTAGTTCGAACATTTAAAACAATCAAACGCAAGATGAGACTCAGACTCAAGGAATGTACGGTCTTAGTGACTATTACCTCCAGTTTGTTCCTGAGACACAAGAAGAAGAAGAAAATGATGATGATGATGATGATGATGATGATGATGATGATGATGATGATGATGAAGAAAGACATTTTGCTAGAGGAGTTGATGATGAAGCCCATGTTTTCACATAGGATATATCTGATATTGATTTATCAAAAATGGATGAAGATAAACAAGAAGAAGGTGTAAAAACAATATCTCATTCGAATAAATCAATTGGTGGGATAAATGATTTTTTTTATATGGTTCCCTTCTTTCAAACCCCAGAGCCCTCTATCACGACCAGCGAGGCCGTATCTTATAATCGTAGTGGCAGAATAGTTGTTGGTAAGTTATTTGGTACGATAAAAGAAATGATCATACAACTCAGAATTAAGTTTATTGAAGAGGGTTTAGAGTATAGAACGAGGAGATCTTCAAAAACGAGATTTGAGGTTGTATGCCTTCGTGAGAATTATGTTGGCATATGACGGAGAGCTCCGTAGTAAAAGGAAAGTTGGTCATAAGTTGGTAGATGTATACACTTGTATGAAGACCCAATTGAATCACAATCACTGTGAAGCAAACAAAAAGGTATTGGGTCATATACTCAAAAGTAAATGTGTAAATGATAACAGTGCACATTGGCCAAATGACATTGTTCATTATATAAACCAACAGTACGATATTACTACTGTGTACACCAAGGTTGGCGTGCTAGAAGTAATGCACTACAAATGGTGAGGGGTAGCCCTGAGGAGTCATTCACCCGACTCCCTACGTTTTTTTTATAATATAGAATATAATAATCTAGGTACCATCACTAGAATAAGGACATATTTGAGAGGACGTTTTGAGATGTGTTTCACTGACCTTGGTTGCGTTGTATGTATAACTATGTCATATGCTTATATATTATAAACTATATCCTTTACAAACGTAAACCACCTAAATTTTTGTAGATCCGAACTATTATGAGAAACTTGCATCGTGTCCTTCCAATAGATGCTGCACATTTAAAGGGACGTTTCCTGGGTACAATGTTCTTGGTCGATCCCATGGACGCAATGTGACAATCGGGTCCTGATTATTACCCAAGTTATTTATTATATGAATTAATTGACTACATGAGTATATGCTTACATGAATTTAATATGTGGGTATATGTATTTATGCATAAAAATATATGCACAAGTGTGTATACATGAAATATGGGGAAACATGAGTATATGCTTACATGAGTATATGTATATATCTACATATATATGGGGAAACATGTATGTATACATGAAATATGATAACATATAACATTATTGTGCATAAGTGTGTGCATGGGTTTAAATGCATGAATGGATAGCTTTATGTACATGCATGCACATGGTTTGAGGCTGGATTGACCGACTTTCCATATTTGGAAAGTATAAGTAGATATTGTGTGGGGAGAAGCAAGGTTTCTGTTTCTTTTAGAAATCTTGAGAGATTTGGGAGAAAGACTGTCCGAATTACTTGCATACTTGGAATCAAAGTGGGTTTGCATTTGCTAAATTACAATAAGGTGAGTAATTTTCTAAACTTCTTTTACATAAATATTGTTTTGGTACTGGTTTTAGTGAATAACGTGTATTGTTCTTAAAGAAATTTTGTATCCAATTTGAGTTTTATTCGAACATAAGGGGTGACCGGATTATGAGTAAACCGGACATAGTGTTGTCCGGATTGATTCTAAACCGGACGTAGTGTTGACCGATTTATTTTAAATCGATCATGTGTTATGCGGTTTAGTTCTAAATCCCTCATGGGTCATATAGAGTTGTTATAAATCGATCAGAAGTTGTCCGGATTAGTATATCGGACAAAGACTAAGTGTATTCCGGATTTGTAAATCGGACAAAGGACTTGTCCGGATTGTTTATCCGGATAAGTTATCCGGGTGACTTATATTTGATAATTTTCTAAGTGTTGAGCATTTTAGACAATGCTA